GGAAACAGGTAGATCAGAGTGAGAGGAAACAGGTGGATCAGAGTGAGAGGAAACAGTATACAGGTGAGTATGTACAGGTGAGTATACTGTATATACTGTATGAGTATACAGGTGGGCATATACTCCGCTGTTCTTTCTAAATTCTATGTAACATATACATGCTTCCACTAGCCCAGATCCTAAAAGTAAACAAAATGTGTACCACAATTATGCGGGCACTCGGCTACGGACCATTACAATCCCTCACCAACTACATGGAACAAATCAGAGACAATTATCTTTGGTGCCAAAGGGGAGGAACGGGCTGAAGTAAGCGCGAAACTAGAAGCCCTACTGCTAAATACATCGGAAAAAAGGTGAGGAATCTAGGCGTAGTTCTGGACCCCGACACAACCTAACCAAACTGCTTACCCAGAAGACTGTTTTAGCACTTCCGTATTTACAATGTCGTTTTTAAACTATATTTTGTATCTCATTAATGCATTGTTTTTAGGTCGTTGTGTGCTATATAAATAAACGTGCCAATTACCTTACCTATACACAGGTGAGTATATACAGGTGAGAATATGTACAGGTGAGTATATACACAGGTGAGTATATACAGGTGAGAATAGACTTTATACAGGTGATCATTGACTGTATACAGGTGGGTGTTTCCAGGTGAGTACAACATTGGCAAACTTCTTGCTGTAGTATGACCAACAGGAGAGTATTGATCTGTGTAGTGAGTTTGGTAGTAGGCTAATATACTGTATAATAGTGAAATGATTGAATATTATTGTAGGCTTCAGACCCCTGAGCACTGTCTCTCCAATATCGTTCCGTAAGGGTGACCGGAAGTAGCGCGGCGGTATGACCTGTGCACAAGCTGTTCTCCAGGTATTCACATTCATACACTTCTGAGTTTGCTCTGTATTCACTGAATATATGTTCTGTGCTCGTGTTTTCATATTAAAGTGAATCCTCCAATGAGCATTTCTGGGAGTGATGTGTTGCCTAGTGTTTGAAATGTGAGATGTTCCCTGACGAATGTTTCACAGGTGCTCTGATGCTGATGGTGTTAGCGGTGTGTGTGTTCTTCTGCCGAGCTGCTCCTGGTAAGTTTGTCTGAAGTAACATGAGGTGTAGAAGTAGGCCTACTCAGATCTTGTAGCCTAAAGTAGAAGTACTCTGTTACAAGTAAAAGTCCTGCATCTCTGTTACAAGTAAAAGTCCTGAACTGAGCTACCAAAAGGAAAGTATTAACTTGAGCCCATTTCAGAATAATATATATTAGGTTTTGATTATAATTATTTATGCTGTGTATGTAATGGGCAGTGGGTGTTCACTTCAGGGTAACTACATTAATCAAATGCGTAACTTGCGGTATTAAATAAATGTATGCAACAGCATTTACCTCTGAATTGTAGTGGTGTGGGAGTAAAAAGTGGCAAAACATTTAAATACTTCAAAATGGTATTAAGTACAGTACTTTATGGATTTCTAGGGGGATTCCGTTTGCACAGATTTATAAAGCTATAAGTGATGCACACAATAATATCGTATATTCTGCAGCATGTCTTGATGGTTAACATGTTGAATATGAAATGGTGCTAGTCAAACATGTGATGAACCTTTGTGCTGTGTTTCCTATGTGTCAGTGTCCAACAGCCTGCAGGTGGGGGGGTCTCCGGTCTCGGGCAGCTTGGACACACAGCCCCCTCCCCTGTTGGCTCTCCCCCCCCGAGAGCGCAGAGCAGCTGGAGGTGCGCTGGTTCCTCCAGGGAGGAGACTTTGACTCCCCGGTGCTGCTGTACCAGCGGGCCCAGCTGGAGCACGGCTCGCAGGACGCCGCGTACGCCGGCAGGGTGTCACTCGGCCTGAAGGACGCAACGTCCAGCGGGCTGCGGGAGGGGGACGTGAGCCTGAAGCTGGCAAACGCCACGCTGCAGGACGCAGGAGACTACAGCTGCTACGTCAGCAGCGACAAGGAGTATGACACAGCCACCGTCAGCCTGGTGGTGACAGGTGAGTGCGGGCAGGTGGAGAAGACAGCAGAGCTTGCAGACCTCTAATCCTCTGCTCTTCCTCCTATAGTCACCGGGACCCCCCCTCTGCTGTCCGCAGTGTGGATAACGGGCGTTCGGGTGAACCTGAGCTGTGAGTCCGAGGGTTGGTCTCCCCGCCCAAGCCTGCGCTGGGCCGACCCCCTGAAGACCCTCCCCCGCAG